ATGATCGATGCCAAAGACAACTCATCAACTTACATAGAGTACTTCCCTTCATTTGATTTGGGTAAGATGATCCAACCAAATGGGATCAATATTTTCAAATTGACACACAAACTCAAAGAATTAGGAATTTAATTGGAAGGCCGCACTATAGCCTACTATAGTTACGACTGTGAAATGTATATCAATTGTGGAATGGATCCTGTTCATTGCTCATATGTGATTCCCTTTGAGGAGATCAAATTAAACAATTAATTACGGATCAAATGCCTTTAAACTGCCATTTCCCTTATACATTTAGTCATGTCCGAGGAAATGAACGAGAAGGTCAATAAAATGAAGGAACAAGATGGCAACGATCAATAGAATCTCTAACAGCAGGGCTAGGAGAACTAGAAACAATGCAGAAGAACAAAGGAAAGAAGGATTGGATACATCATAGAGAAGGTTTCGAAATGGAGGGAATACTACAGTGTAAGATTTCATCTCTACTCAAGGGCATCATGATTGATGGAGAGAGTAAACGATTTACACTAGAAGAAGCTGCATAAAAGGTCAATATTTCAAAAAAGAGTTTGGACGACTATTTGTTGTAAATTAGATACGGCAGAAAATTTGGATTCAATTTCAATGAGCATAAGAATGAGAAGGTTGGAGTCCTAAGAGCCTTTGTTAAAAAGAACAACTGCACCAAAAAGAAGAAGATCAAGACAGAATGATTATTATGAAGATTACATATATAAATTTATTATACAATCAATTTTTCTTTAATAATAAACTTTATATCATCCCCTTTTCTTACATATACTTATAGATTAATTATTTTAAAACACTTTTATCTACAATAGTAAATAATAATAATTCATTCTTCTTATCAAATGCTTAAGTGGCCATCAAAGTTTAAAACTTAGATGACTTCACTTTAATTTTTAATACCCTCCATTTCCTTACATATAAATTTTTTATTTCTTTATAATAGTTATTTACAATTACACCTTATACCTTACTAACAATTTTAAATATGAATATACATGTCTAAATACGGTGATTTCACAATCTCCTCCTCAATATGGTAGTTAATTATTGTCTTTTACATTTACATTTTGATCTATTTTACTTCTAAAATAAGAAATCAACATGATAATTACTTTCCTAATCTTCCTTTTTTATTTCCATGTAAATTTGATTCCAATACTTATTCCAAAGCATGATGATCCTATTGGCATACGCTTAGACCCTCTTTCGATAATTCCTATAAACCTCGATGATCTTCCTCATTCTTCTCTTAAATTGATAAGTTTTCTAAAAGATCTCTCCAATTTACCCATAACTCATCATAAAAGTATGCACAATCCTTTTTGCCTTCTTTTTCGCCCCCTTCTCCTTAACCTTCGATAACATTCTTAATATCAGAAGGCCTTGGAAAAGAGTTCTTTGAAATATATCTCTTCCAGACTTTTGCAACATCTTTTATAACACCTTTCTGACTCTATATTGTCTTCTTTTTTTAATTGACGACTTAAATTGGAATATGATATTATCCTAAAGATTAGATGGATCGTTTTTACATAATATCTCTTTTTGATGATGGACACCAATTAAATGAAATAGAGATTCTGAAGCCACAACTTTTATTGGACCTTTAGAAAGATATCAATATTATTTCTGTAGAGAATGATCTCCTTCAATATCTTTTTCTTCTCTTGGAACTCAAAGCGCTCCTTTAAGGTTTCTTTCTTTTCCTCGAAGATTTGCTTTTTTTTATGCAGAGTCTCTGAGAGTTTCCGAGCTGACTGAACCCTTTTTAGATTCTGCTAAAGTTTAATTTTGTCAGGCTAATATTATTCAATATTCTTGTTTAGCGATATCATATCTTTGGATGGTTTCCTTGTGAAGAAGAATTAAGATGACCTTGTGAATTGATAACCTGTGGATGGTCTTAATTTGGATTCCGTTTCCATTTTCTACTGCTATTACGGTTTAATTCCAAATGAAGCCTTGGCGTAAATCGTGGTTGCTTATTGAGAAAAGATTGCCAGATACAAACAACGTTGGGCGAAGAGTATGTGCTCACCCTATTCTGTATATCTAAGAATTTGTTTCCTTTCGAAAGATTCCTCATTGTTAAAACCTGTTTGGAGTTATGGTGTGACTTGAGATGTAAAATTTCATTTTGGCTTAATCGGTGAATTAGAAATCTACTATTTATCATGATTTGTACAAATTACAAGAGGCTTTTTGTGACCAAATAACGGCACTTCGATATAATGGAATTGACAAAGGTCAAGCTAAATGACATTGGTTAAACGCACATCCATGATGGCTCTTTCTTTATGAATATATTGAATATCCGTCTGTTTGCGCTATGTGTTCATAAATGCAGGTGTCGACAACGAAAGATTATCAGAAAATATTTGTTTAATTTTGCGTTCTTCAAGTTTTTGGATCATTTAGAAATTGTCATCATACTTCTCATAATTTTAATTCATTAATAAATAAAATTGACACACATAAAGAACATAAATAGATTAAGTTAAATAAGCAAAGTTTACATCATTACTAATGAAGACTGGAATTGTAATTGATGAGCAATTTTCCTTTATTGTTGAGGTACTTATTTGCTTATATTTTATGTATTCAGTATTTTAAGAATAGATGAAATTAGAATTATTTAAATGCTGAATCATTTGATATAGTTGTTTTAGTTTGAAAAATAATCATTCTTGTTCAAATTATCAGTTATTAGTTTTTATGTATTATAGGCAGAAGTCTTATAATTGTAAATATTCTTAAAGGACATCTTAAGTTCGAAAAAAATTGTGTTGAAGCACTCTAAATGTTCAATCATTTGTTATTCTAACATAGATATGAAGTGAGATATAGATAATCTATGGTTTCTTTCTGAGTTTTTCAATGACCAGAATGTTGGAATTATCCTCTTGAATATAAACAAAGTATTTATGTATTTCAATTATAGTTGAACAAGTATTATTTTCTAGTAAGGAATGTAATTAAGGATATTTTTCTCTGACACACTATTTGGATGGCACACTCTTATCTACTCTAAATAGCCTAGTTGATTTCACTAATTGTTCCTGTTCTTAGCTTATTATTTAGTGCACACTGTTGATTGAACACACTTAACATATTTAGTGGGAATCCACTCATATCCTTCGTAGTATATTCATTTAGTTAATTAATTAAATAATGGCTGATTTTTCGATTGAGAATGTGTGTTAAGCGATCCATGCATTCAACAATGGTTAAGTTGAGAAGGCTGATGCATTCCTGAGAAATTTCTCATAATCTAAAGAGGCTTGGGGAACATGCATTCAAATTTTATAGTCAAATCCAGATTCTTCATTGGTATTTTAGGTGTTACGCATTCTGCAGTCCAAAATCCTATATGACTTCAGTATTTTGATTAATTTTACATTCTAGTATCACTCAATCCTTAGGAGATTCAACAGATTTATTAAAACTGCATATAAATCATTATCCATTACAGTGTATAAAATTAAAAATCTACTAGAATATAATGTGTACTTATGTTCATCTATTTATACTTGTACACCTACAATCCATAAACTAAATCTATCTTGGAGTACGATATCTATATAAAGTTAGAGTGATTTCCCAATTGGTTGATTGCCAAAACAATAGTGCGCATTAGAATTTCTTATTCGATATTTTGGAAACCTTCCCGGAAGAAATCATCAGCAATAAAAAGATAATCATTGAAGACGAAAAGCGAAAATATATCGCCCAAGATATCAAGAATAAACAAATGTTGGACATCATTCAATTTCTATAGCAGAGGTGGAATAACTCAACTGACGAGAATGTCCGATTTTATGTGTTGCGAGCATATAAAAAATGGTTGGAATTTATGAAAAAGTATATCAACGAAGACGAAGTATATTATTAACATGTAAAATATTAAAGGCCATATAATTCATGCAATTAACCACTCAAACTCCCCTATTCAAAGGTGCTTTGGACTCCATCATCATCGAAGAATTGCAGAATAAGGCAGTTGATGTAATATGCACGTTCTTTGGAATCATCCCCAGAAATATATCAGATTCACCTTCCTTAGACCCATAAATCATTAAAATCATCTTTGACGAAGTCTATAAGACATTTGCATTGTGTAAAAAGGCTCTTGATGAAGATCTGAGCGATGAGATACATAATTTGACACGACTCTACTCCAAACTGGGTAAGAAGTTTATATGCAAGATATTACTGAATAGTCAATTAGATGCATTCTTAACAACCATGATATGGATATTTTGCCATGAAAATTCTTATAATGAAAGTGAAACCATGACTGATTTTTGGATTAAGATGATTAAAACCATTAGGATTATGAATGACGTCTAATTATAGAGTAAATTTGCTTTGACTTTTGAATAATTGATCAATGGATGTGTTAAGAATAGTAAAGTTAATTTAACTTTGTTATCTGAATATGGTTTATAATCTAAAATTGAGGATGAATTTGAGTAGTTGTTAGATACAAGATCAGACATGAAAGAGATTATAGAGGAATTAGCCACTATAATTTAACCTAATCAAATTCTCCAGCATTTAGGCCTGATTTTAAAGTAGGAATTCATTGGCAAAATGGATGATTCAGGTTGGATCACTTTTGAAGCATGTATGTATTTAATAAGTGGCATTGTTAAATAAATCACTCTTAAAAATGATTAAATTGGAGTTCAATATCTAATGGAAATTATTAAATTATATTTGGATGTGTATTCACAATAATCTTTGGCGAGTAATAATTTCATTTTGAAAACCGGTAAATATTATTATATATATATTAATGTATAGTGTTCAAGACAATCTCTTAGGGATGTGCTCAATTGATATCTTCTAATGAATTATTGCCATTATTGTTCAATTTCATTACGATTGGCATCCATCACAAAGTGCCATCAGTTCAAAAGAAAGCAACCAAGGCATTTTAATTGATCTGTAAATAGAATCAAAATTTTGTATTGATGCATTTGAGTTAGTTTTTTGATTTGATTGTGAAGTTGCAATAAGTGTAAGTGTAATTCTTATGATTTTAGTTAAAATTACGATAATTTAATCAAGGGAGTAGCCAATGCTATTTGTTCTAGTAAGGAAACTATGCAAAATTATTATTTGAAATTATGTTCAATTTTTGCTTAGAATCTACTTTAGTTACAAAAATAAATCGAAGAATAAATATTGTCTAATATGAGCATTGATTCATTAGAAGACAATATTGTGTAATTTAGTAAAAATATCTCTTGCTTGGCATATGCAAACAGTTAGATTCCTGCCAATGAAAATGAGGATTTCTTGGAGGTGAGAATTTTGATAGTGAATGTTTACAAGGAATTATGGCCAATGTTGTAATTTGGCATGGAAAGAATTGTATTGTACGAGTCAAGTATAGCTGAAAAGATAGTTAGATATACAAAACATACTTTTAGAAAGGCATTCAATGCCTTTTCAGTCGATTTGCTAACGTAAGTATTTTAGTGCTTTTTGAATGTGTATCGATAAATGCCAATCACAGCATGCATCTACATAGCCGAAGTGTCAGCTACTGTGTTTTATAAATACCCTGAATATAGGAACATTCTATCAGAAGCCTTTGAAAATCTCTGCAACATTACCTTCTAGCACTTACCCTAATTATCAAGTTTTGAAGAGAATCCTGATTTAACCGAGGATCTCTTTGGAATTTTAGTTCGATATGGGAGATACACTCCAGTATTGCTTTTGTAGAGTCCTGCTCTGACGACAATCTTGCAACTTACTTTAATGGCAATAGGATTGAAGCATGTGAGTGCAGCAAAAACTTTCTATTCTTGGTTGGAAGTGGCATTCAAAATCTTAAAACCTCAGGATGATATCTTCAAGACTCAGGTTCCTCAGGAGTACAAGGAAAGTAAGAAGTGTTGATTATCATTTAGAGTTTTAGTAGATCTTTGTGCCTTTCGTGCCTCAATATACTTCGAAGTTGTTCGAGGCTCTGAGAAAGGGGACGGCAGATGAGGAGGTGGAGGAATATATTCAGGATTGCATTCTCGCCTTGTCTCAATTGTAGTTCCTTGATTATGGGAAACTGTTGGAGGGTGTGTTTGAGGAGGGACCATAGAACATTTTGACTGCATCTGAGAGGAAGAGTTGGTTGGAGTAGAGCAAGGATAGCTAGACTCAGAAACATTATTTGAAATTGTATTCGAGGCGGTGTGTTCAAAATGCTTTAAGGGGATGACAATAATAATTCAATTATATATATAGATTTAAAATTGCCAGAGATAATAATAAAAATATTATTTATAAAATGAAATTTTTATATTGCGATTCAAATGTAACTCCTGAGATGAAAGACAAAATAAAAAAATTATTATTTGACAACTCAGATAAATTAACTCACTAAAATCCAGCTCTCTTTTTATAAAAACTACTTCATAATAATTTTGAAAAACATTGGTAAAATATTATTTAACATTGTTATTAGGTTTGTTTATGTGGTCTATAGTCCTATGGAATTGAAATACTAATTCAGATCAAACATTTCAATATGTATATTCTTAATTTCATATTTTGTAGTAATTGACATCGAAATTGAAAAAACTCGATATATTTTGGCATAGTTCGAGGAAGTCAGCGTGGGAACGTTCGCTAAAGATAAGTTCATTAAAACATGCCAACAAATAGAAAAGCATATTGCATAACAATAATATGACCTTAATACAGCTCTGCATGAATCTCAGAAAATTTTGGAGAGTCAATTTGGATCTAGTAGTCATATGATCATGGTTAAATCTAATGAATAGGAAACACAGCTACAATTCATTGCACCCTATCAAATTCAATATATCTTCAAAATACCTCTAAATGCCTATGAATCAATTCAAGGAGGAATATTTTATATTCCTTTGGGCGCTGAAGAAGACAATGGGATGTAAGGATTCCCACATAGAAATATATCAGGAGAAGAGGAATTCGACAACAACCAGATTAGAGATGAAAATTACATTCAAGATGAATATGAAGAACCCATGGATTTGTAATTTTAAGTTATGGCTGATGCCAAAGAATTCAAATAATCAACTGATCAAGTCAAGGTTAGCTTTGACGAACTAGAAATTTAACCATTGAAAGTGCATTCATTTTCTATTCTATTTTAAATTAACATCTCACCCTTTCCCAAAGAAATAAGTATGTATTGTGCATAATCAATTAGAGGACGATCTAAATGTATTGTCAACTGGAAGCTCTTTGATGTCCAAAAACATGACATTCGGTATCAATAGGGATCAGCTTTTCTTTTTTAATTTTCAGTTAATGACAGGGAAAATGGAAACTCTCTATTCTCAAATGAAAATCAAAAGGAATCAACTATATCAAGTTGCTTTAGTTTATTCTGAAACAGAAACATACAAGTAAACTTATTCATACTATCAATCTATTTAGAGAAGTGTCTATGTACATCAATGGAGCCATAGAAAATCAAATTAATTTATCTTAATAATTAGAACCTCCTCGAGGATTCTTTTGGATTGGATCTGAATAAGCTCTCAAATTATTCAAAGGAATTCTATAGGATATTGTGTTTATAGCATAATCCTTACATTAAAAACATATCAAATCAATTTATGCTGAACTTTAGAGTGCATTATCCCATAAATTCGAAAGAAAAACAATAGAAATTGTTGAAGAAATATTGTAACAATTCAAAGAAGAAATCCCAATTGATTAAGATGAATCTAAATTTAATCAAACCCAAACTTAAAGTTTGTTAAAATAACAGTCCAAGACTCTATCAAAGGCAAGTAATAAAAAGTTATAGATACCTCCACATCTCTAAAAGAGCTATCACATATTTGAAGAAATTGATAAAAAGAAAACTCAATAACAAGAGTAACCACATTAAAAAACAATTCAAGAATTTGCAAGTATATTTTAATGCTAATTTTTAAGATAGATTAAAGGATGTGTTTTCGTAGAACGAGATAATATATCATAAATGTCATGAATTGAGTTTGAATTTCTATTGGGTTTTTACTACTGTATAATAATTGGCACCACCATTGGAGGAGAATGCAAGTCCCAAACTTCCATTCGAGTATATTCATTAGGAACTATTCAAAGAGAGGTAATTATTTGAATATTACTTCTTTAGATTTGAAACCTATCCTTACTATGCCATTGAATTTGATAGGTTTTGCAAAGTTGTGTAACATAGTGGAATTTAATTATCGCACGATGATATTTACCAATTGGCAGAAATCACTGATTCTCTAAGGGAAAATAAAAGGTTTGGCTATTATTTAATATACGATCGATTATTATTATCCATCAGATAGGCAGCTTTGACTTAAGAGGAAATTGAAGAAGTAAAGGGTCAATATAATACTGATGAGAAAGAAGCTGATTAAGACTTGATTATTTACACAAGAGGCATATCAAGATAAAAGCAAGAAATGGAACATAACTTCAGTTTCTTTGAATAGTTGACAGTGTTGGTAGGATCAGAGAATGAAGCATTCAAGTACAATATCAATTATCTTTTGGCTTACTTTGTAAACAATGATGAATTTGTGTAAAAATTAACAGCAGTCTATGTTCACAAAGAAACAGGACAGGAAGTAGAAATCGAAGGAGTTGATCTATTCTCTTATGATCAAGATAAGATTTTCTAATAGAAACTTAATATTTCTGAAGAAACTTAACCTAAGTATTTCAGAGTTCATTACAATGGTGAAAATATGGCTATGATATCGTTCAAAACACATGAAGCTGAAGAGACATTTAGAATCGACAAAACATTTTCTTACAGAGAAGGATAGGATGCAACTGGTTAATTGGAGACCTATGCTTTTGAGTAATTAAGGTTGGCTGGATTCAGAGGTAGAATAGTCAAGAAAGATGAGTATTCTCAAATAATCATGTTAGCTGCTGAATATCTTTAAAAGGATCCGAAAGTAGAAGAACAAAAAAGAAACCAACCAGAAACATTGCCATAATTACCAGAAAATTGGAATCAAGGGAAATTCCAACTCATCATTAATAGATGTTCTGATTGTGAAAAACATAAGACAACTACTTGGCATAATGAGGCTGATTTCGCCAATAAATTTAATGAAATTGGATAAATTTTAAAAGATTTATTCCCAAACATAGAAGTAATAGGAAATTGGGATAAAACACAACAATTAGAGCATTTTGATGTTTATATTAGAGGAGTGGGCTAATTAAGTTAGATGGATAAAGAAGGGAGAGTATTTTTGTTTAGAAAGAACGAAAAGTTGGCTAAATTCTTGGATTGCTTCTTGAAGAGAATGTTAAAGGTCTATGATGATATTGTATTAATTGCTTAGGCCTATGGAGATACAAACTATTCTGGCAAACAAATAGGAAATAGTTCTTAAGAACCAATAATTACTCATAAAGATCTAAGATAGCTCATGATCACCCATGCAATATACCTGACAAATAAGAGAAATCAGAAAAGGGAGAAGCCTAATATGCTGGTTCTGATTTCATTTGTAAGAATTGGGGTTGTGGATAACCATATAAATTTGATTCAACTCCGAATGGTATTAAAACATGTAAACATCACCCTGGTAGATATGAATTCGGATCTAAACATGGATTATGGCCAGAATGTTGGACATGTTGCGGTAAAAAGTGGGAAGCTGAGGGCTGTAAATTAGAATATCACAAGGGTGTTCCTGAAAAAGACTTATATAATATTTGTATCAATGTAGGTCCCTTGGATCCAAGAACTGGTTATCCTGAAGGCACTTGTGGAATGAGATTCTAAGATGGGGATTCTTCAGAATGTAAATATAACTCTGGAACTCATCAAGCTGCCAAATGGCCTGATCCTGCAGCCAAAGTCTATTTTGTACAAAAATTACACATTGTAATTATAATTTGTTAATATATATATAGAATCCTGCTTAGAAAGAAAAGGAGACTCAGCCAAATAAAAACATTCAAATTAGACCAGATGTATTCAGAGAGACTAAACCTTATAATGAGTTTATTAATAAGGATAGATAGAGATAAATGAAATTGATTGAGACTGAGAAGGAATTAAGAATATGTACAAATTGGGCATGTGGAAAACAATATAGAGAGATTGAAAATAGAAAAAAGAATATGTGTAGATGTCACCCAGGAGTGTTTGATTTTGGACACACTGCTACTAAAATTTAAGAAGCTATTGAAGAATATAAATAAGAAAAAGGATCCAAAATTCTATGGAAACCTCAGTAAATATGATCTCTATTTAAATTAGTTGGACTTGTTGTCGTAAATCTTGGAATGAACCAGGATGTCTTTTATCAAAACACTCAGGACCTTTAGTTATTGAATATAAGGCAAATAAATACTAGTGGCCAGATCCAAAAGCTTAAATCTATTTTAAAAAGAAGGTATCAGATAATTGGAAAAAAATGCTTGAATAAAGTCATAGTCTGACACCTGAAACAGCCAGTTTGAAATATGATCTATTGTGCAAGACTTTAGGATCTGGAGGAGTAAAAATATTTAATATTCTCTTAGTAAATTTCTGTTTATAAACTGCCTGAATTATGTGATAAATTCGAACTTAATCTTTGGGTTTGTAGTGAAGACTTGGCATTTTAATTTAAATTTACAGATATCATGGAAGGTAGAGCTCAGGAATATTTGGCAGACACAAGTGGAAATATTGATAAACATAAATTCTTAGATTGGTGGTTTGCTGATGTCAATAGGATGTTAGAAATTTCATCAAAATGATTTATTATGCATATAAAATAAGAAATATATATATGATTAATATATCATTTTGTATCTTTGAAGTTCAATTTTGATGCTAAGCAATAACTTTGCAGTTTTATCATTTTAGCTTATTATTAGATGAAGATTTTAGGTGTGAATTTATGAGTTTGCACATCATAATATGAAAAACTAGAACAATTAATTTATAATCGTAAAGGAATGTGAGAAGATTAAGAGAATTTCAAATAAGATTAACAATTTTATTTTTATATATGTTTTAGGATTAGTGGTGTTATAAACAGAAGAACATAAATTTTAATAATTATAATCGTTAAAAAATGCACAACGCTGTGATTACTATTCCTTAACATGGAAATGGCAGACTCTATAAAACTTCAATTTGCAGACACTTTGAATTAGGTAACTGCTCAATTGGAGAGAAATGTCAATTTGCACATGGCTAAAAAGAATTGAGAAATCCCAATGGTATTA